CCCCAAAACCCCAAAACCCCAAAACCCCATGTGATTAAATTTGTTAAGAGTATTTTAATAGATTAATTGTAGTGTGAATTATTATAATAATGACAAATCCATTAAAATCTTATTTTCAACTGACCTAACCGACATCTACCTAAATTCAGATACCTGGAGCCCATTTTTCAAAGCTGGTTCCTGGATCAGCTAAAAATACTTCTGCCTAATATTGAATCGGCCAAGATACATAATTGTTTAGCCAAACCTAAAATAAATAAATGCTCTTTCATCTCTTTGAAAATTTAAGAGATCGATCTGGTACATCTCATTAATCAAGAAATATTGCTAATTAGAGGAGATATACCAATGATTCTGATATATCTATAAGTGGAAGCTAAGTCGCAAGCATATATCCAGTGGCAAATATGAAGGCCAATGTCAAAAACGCAAAAGTAATATATATAAAGGAACTTAGTGCAATTTACATTATAGAACTCAGAGGGAGATGAAGTGGGATAATATAGCAGAAACAGGTAGAGATTAAATACAGCTGGAGGAGTCGGAGGAAGATTGAATTAAAATTCATATTTCAAATGAAATCCAAGGCTTATAGAATAACAAAAAATAGCATCTGAATTAAAGAGCCTTAACTATACTTAGGCAAGTTAAAGCGTCGTCAAAACACCAATTGCTAATCAATAAAGTAATATATAAATTGCTTACCACTTTAATAACTTTGGCTTTAGAGTCTCGCTCAAATTTAGGCTGTGGAATAAATCCATAGGATGGAAGCAGTCTTATTATTCAGAACTAGATGAATTCAACTTCGGATTTTAAAAAACAAAATTTGGATTTTAGTGGATAAAAAACTGACAGCTAAAATATTACAATACATCAGAATTAGCCAAAAAGAAGGATCTCAGGAAACTTTAGGATACTCAAGGAGATAGCTGATTCTTAATGGAGACTGCAAAAGCCCTAGAATCTTTCCTCTAAGAGAAATGCAAACGACAGTATTTTAAAAGAAGCTAAATGCAACACTTATTAACTTATACCATAATCAAGATTTAGAAAGTGAGAAGCTAATAAGTTCCACAATAATACATTTGAACTTTAATAGAGTAGAGAAGATTCATTAGAAAGAAATTAAAGCCTCTAGAGTTAAATCAGAGGGACCAACAAGACTCAAGCTCTTGAAGAATTCTTAAAGCAAGAATAGAGTAAGCTCAAGCTAGTTCTAGAATCACAGTAATCTTTGCATTAAAAGTCCAAAGAAATTCTAAAGAATTATGAGTCTTCGATAGACAGTGTAGAAATCGAAGTTGAGGATCCAAAATTTAATTAGAAGAAGATAATCCGCTGCTTGAAGGAGGTGATATATCAATAGATACCTTACTTTGAGAAATATTTAAGAGAAGAATAAAAAGGGTACTTAGTCAAGATCTAAGTGCTAAGTGACATTCATGTCTTTGATTGGATTATGTAGTTTGCAGAGAATTGCTTTTATCATAATCTACCTGATAGTAAGAAAATACTATATGAGCATAGACTCTGCTTATACAAACCAAGACTTGAGATAAATAAGCTTACTTCTATTCTAAATTCTTCAGAGTATTTAGGCATGCAAAACCTAGTTTATGAATGCTTAAAATTTGCTGTCAAAAATATAGTAGAGATATCTAAGCTTCCTCCTAATCTAACAAACTTTAGTGGAGATTCAATCAAATTGATGGCTTAAAGTTTTGGAGTCAGAGATAACTCAATTTTATATCTATTTAAAATGTAGGAATGCCCTCTAAAAGATTCTTTATTTAAAACAAAAGTGCTTTTGACACTGCAAACGATTGACTAAGATATATTTTAATGCGTAAATTGTGATGATTTATGTCAAGAAGTTAATTATGAAAAAGAAAAATGCAATAATTCCAATAGATTTATTGATTACAATGGATAGCTTAAGTAATATCACTGTCTAGATAGATTATCATCATTGTACAATATAATTAATGAGATGAATTTACAATTTGATTGGGCATTACTCTACTTATATTTAAAAGCGAGTCTTAAATGCTTTGAATGTTAAGAATGCAAATAAATTTTCACAGGACTACAATTGAATTAATGCTTTTATCACCCAGATTCTAATCAAGGATTATAATTTATAGAAATTGAGCAGTGCTGTGATAGATAAAATGGAAATTTAAAGTTGATTAATAATTTTGTAAAGATGGGTTGTAAAAGAAAATTCCATTTGGTAAATTAAAATCTCAAACAAGATGAAAAAAACTTAATATAATTGATTACTGAATTAAAAGTGACTATTGAGGAGAAGTTAGTTTTGCTTCTAGTAAATTAGATTAAAAAGGCTTTTGTAGATTATAGATAATTTAAAGGTATCGAGATAGATAGATAAAATACAAATATGGATGTACTATGCACCAAGAATAGAGAAGATCTTATTTTTGCTGTTTAAGACAAAGTCCTTAAATGCTAGTCTATCAAAGTCAATAATTTGATTAATCCAGAAAGAGCTTAGAAGCTAGAAAAATAAGGGAAATTTGATTTCTTTTAAACTTTAAACTCTGAGCAATGCCCCAGGGATTCCAAAAAGTAAAAAGTTATTTCAGCATGTATCAATGATAGTGTGAAACAAAGTGAATAGTAGATGATATAGTCATTAGTAAAATAGTTGTAAAAGCAAAGAATAGCAAGGGAAATAGACAGTCCTACTGCATTAAATAACAATATATCCAATCTGAATATTTTCAGTTCTTTGTATAACTCTAGGGATTAATTAGGGATTGGAGGTAATGTTTTGAATAGCAAATACTTCTCAAAAACTTAACTATGAATAACACTTGATTTGAGTCCTGAAAAACCCCAAACTCCAACTAATGAATATTCTAATATTATTCTCCCTGAAAGTGAAAATGCAGGCTTATGGTATGAATTTATAAATATAATACTTGGCATTATAACTTCTTATCAATCAATATAATTTCATTAGTTTTTTAATACTTAAATATTAAATTCAACCTTTAGGGGTTTTGGGGTTTTGGGGTTTTGGGGTTTTGGGG